CCCCAAAACCCCAAAACCCCAAAACCCCAAAACCCCAAGAGGGAGATTAGGAGTTGAAATATTTGGGAATTAGTCTTCGAGTGTGAGTTCAGGGATTTGTAGTTCGTGTAAAGGGAATTTTGGATTTTGAAGTGGAGGTTGGGCGTGTGGGGGTTCGGTGTCGATTGAGGAGTTTTTAGGGGAAAACGAAGGTTTGGAGAAGGATTGAGATGGATTGAGTGCGTTTTGAGCAAATTTAGGGCTATTTTGGACTAGGGGGTGGGGTGGTTTGGTGTTAGGGTTGTGGTGGAAGAGGATTTTATTTTAAGAACTTTCGAGACCGAGAACTGCTCTCCTTCATCCTGTGGTATAATGGGGTTATCTTACATATTGGACTTATTTAAAATCAGAGGTTGCATTTTACGATATGGGAGAAGTGGCGATAATGGTCTCATTGACATATCACGACAAAACTTCTTCAAATTTCTTCTTTTACTCCTGTCTCTTGAAACTACAAATGAATAAGGTATCAAATAAATGTCAGAACTTACATATTCTCTTTTTCGATTTTGACCTTAACTTTAAATTTAGTATCTCTGGGCAATAATCTAAAAGACAGATCAGGTCTCGACTCCAAGGTTGGAATATGCATAATTTTTGGTGTAACCAGATGACTTAAAAACGTAAGGGACTTAGAATTTACACCAAAAGTTATAAAATTTACTTTTTAATATAAATTTCCTCTTCTTCTTTTTCCCATTGAAACTCTGCCTTAATTTCTTCTTTACCTTCTTATCTGCAATCGGTACAGTCTGCATGGGGTATTAGACATTTGACGAGATTTTAGATATTTTTGAAAGTGATAAAACTCATACTTGTTCTCTATAAGGTTTTCTACTAAGGCCTCGGAAATCTGGGAATACTAAAATTTGTAGGACCAATGATTACTGTTAAAAAATATGCCTCAATATTGGCTCCTGTGATTTCAGTTAAATTATGCTAATCTCTACATCATACAAGTGATCTAATATTAATACTATACCAGTACGTGTATAGGTTGTTCAAACTTCTTTGGCTTAATCCCTGCAGGGCTTTTAAACCTCTTAACTGAGCTCTTAATCATAGATCTCTTCTGGAGGCCCTAAATTTTACCTAAAACTTACAACCGGACTATTCAGCTTATCGATCTCCTTCTGGTACATCTTCATTACTTCATCTCCAGAGATTGCTTTACCAGTGCGCCCAATCTGGGCTCCTTCCTGGAAGCCTGGGCGAAAGCTTGGCCCTCTAGCTTTGTTGTTGATGTCTCAAGAGCACTGGCCGCAGCTGGGCAGTGCCCGAACAGCCTTGGGTTTTAGAGGAGGAACAGGAACTGGTGGAGAGGGAGTTGGATAAGCGTAAGTAGAGCCAGGTGGAGAGAGATTGGATAAGGAAATGTTGTAGGTGAAAGTTAGGTTTTGGGCCTTGCTCTTATGCATTTTTTCGAAAAAATTTTTCATTTCAATTTTTATATTATTTTTAGGGGTTTTGGGGTTTTGGGGTTTTGGGGTTTTGGGGTTTTGGGG